CAAGTAATACTAAAGCTTGCAAAAACACTTGTGGTGTTAAAAGAGTTTGTGTTAGAAGAGTTTACTTGTTTTGATCACCCACCCCCCCATACTGGTGATTTATAGGTTTCCCTAAACTACAACATCAAACTGAATAATCATAAAACGTTCCGAGAAAGGAAATTGTCACCTCAAGTCTAAATATACTATACTACTATTCAGAAATATATACCAACAAATTTGTATTTGAATGGACAAACTCAGAAAAATGCTGTATTTATTTGCAGTGTATACCTTTTACCATTACTATGCTGCCATATTCTTCCTTTATAATGTATTTAGACGGATGGCATTTGTGGTAAGCAACTAACACCAACAGCAGCTGAATGTTTCTTCAGGAGAACAAACATACAGTCTAAAAATTCCTCACGGTTCTTACACAAATGTTTCTGCCACTTCTCTAAGCAATACATAGCCATATTTTTATTTCCAAGAACAGTAAATATATGTGTATATAGATGTTCCCTATAATGTACACTGTTGCACTATATCACTTTTTAAATGCACACGCTTTAAACATTTTTCTGAGTTAGTATACTGATTATTTTTTTTTTTTATGAAAAACACCCAGTTTTCAACTAAAAACATGTTGACAACAGTCGCCCAGAGCAAGATTTTACAACCAAATTATAAAAGCCCTAAATCTCAAGTTTTATAATACCATCAGTGACACAGACTTAACTGTAGCGACGAGACAGGCGCCGCTATAATGTTAACAGCCAGTATGTAAACATTAATGCAGCCTAAGGGGGGGAGCAGGGGGCAATCCCAGAAGGGTCCCTTCAGAATTGCCACAGAAATTTTAGGTGCCTGTAGTTAAACTTTCTTTGGCTTAATTACTTACAAAGGGCAGGGGTAAAAAAACAAAAGTTAGCCAGGCAGTAAGACAATTAATGTCATTAAAACTAATTGTGTCCCTTCTTAAAGCTTTAGTTATAGATCTTGAAACTCACTAATACATTATTTTTTGAACAAGAGTCCAAAAAACTGAAGTTTGCCATTTAGCTATTAGCAAAACACAACTTAAATGGTTTTGAAACATCAGCACATCCACAAAACACTTAAGAGAGTATCATTCTTTTCCTTGAGAGTAATCGGAGACGTCTTAAATCCAGGCTCTTCACTGAGTTATCAGACTTCTTTGCCTTAGAAATCAGTAAGGTACAATCAGATGTCCAGTAACAGGCTGGCTTCAGCCAAGCCTCAAATCACATTTCAACAGCTTCATTCACAACAATTTTAATGAGTATATTCAGTTACTTCCTTGCCTTCTAAGTGTCTGTGCTTCTAGAACAAGGTAGTACCGTGTCTTTCTAAGCCACGTACCTCCTCCTCTGCTACATGCTCAATTCTTGCTGATAACATTTAATAGATTTTGAAAAAAAAAAAAAAAAACAACAGGAGATTGTAACTGTGACTTACAAACAGAAGCCAAAAGACATTAGCAAAATATTCATTTTCCAAAATTACAAACAAATAAAATTGCTTCTTATCAACAATTTGAAACAACACCTATAGAAATAAACAAGGAGTACACAGGTAAAACAACTCCATACATAGGTTAATAAAATGCATGTAATGATTTCCTAAGGAAGCTTAACGAAATTGATGTAACTGAGTCATATCCCCAATTTTTGAGACATTAACACAACTTTTAATGTCTAACACTAAAAAGCTAAATTCTGTGACAAAAGAATTCCACATTTTTCTTTAATAGGAGATGAAAAAGGTGAAACTGTAAAGAAAATTGTATTATGTGCAAGTGCATCTGTTAAAAGCTTACTTATTATAATACACCCATAGTTACTATGACAATATATACATGAAGAGTAATTAAAATGTTGAAGTCATGGCCAAGTGATCAAAAGGAATTAGAAAAATGTACATTCTAATGAATTGTGTACATTTCTCCAGGAAGAGGGAGTACTTTCCTTATTTGCAAGAACATTTTCTTTGCATGTGAAAACACATAGCACACCAGTAACACAATATTTTTTGTCTCATTTCTCATTTTTCAACACCTCTGCCAGAGCCATAGAGAAAAGAAATAACATGGCAGGACCAACACTAACAACTATTAGAAACCTATGTACTGTATGAGATAATGTAAAGTCAAAATCAGCTGAAATTTAACTCTGTGCCCTCTTAGCATTTCTCAGAGCATCAAACGTAGAACAGCTATGCAGCTAACAGATGTCAGACTGTCATTTATAAATTCTGTGTTGGCCAGTAAGGGCGCTTCCTCCTAATCTTAACAGGCAACCCACACTGCTTGAGAGTACTAGAAAAAGGCAAAAATTCTGAGTTACTCCTATTGGACTAAGGGACTAAAGTCAGAGAATATGAATATGCACATTATAAACACATAATCTGCATTTTTATGTATCTAAATTCAATTATTTTCTAAGAAATAATTCTTATCAAAGCATCACTTAACCATAATAATGTGACTAGATCTCTTCCCAGAATCTCACAGATCATTAATATATACATATACAAAAATGTTTACAAGTTTTTTTGTTCCTCGGCCTTTTCCACAGATCCTAATGTAGTGGCATTTCCTGAGTCTGAAGTTTGTATGCAATGTCACCTCCAGCGAGTGCCACGCAAATTTGCAATTACGTGTTACACAAACTATAATCAAACTAGTTCTGTTACACATTAGAAAACATGCTCCTCCTCAGGATTATAATGCACCTGGACAAGCTATCCATCTCTTTTTCCCATTCTTCCATAAGAATTATAAAATGTGCAAGGCTGGCACACAAGAACAGCAATACTCAGAAGAAAATCTGATTTACAAGCCTGCTGTTCCCAAGTTCAGGACTGACAGGGATGCTGTGCAAGCAAATGCCGGTGAGGTACTTAAAATAGGGTATCCACTTGGGAAGAGATTAAGTGATTAAGTTTGATGTTGCTGCCAGCTGCTAGTAGCAATTTAAAGGGCTAGAGATATGTTTATGAAGTCAGTTTGGGACTTTTTCCCACCTCCACGATTTTTCAATACAATTTGTTGTAAGCTACTCCAGGATATGACTGAAAATGCCACCGTGTCTCCGTGTCAAGCGTCAGCTTCCTAAGAGACTACAAGTCTATTAAAATTTGATTTTGCATGTAACAGAAGCTAGCAAGCAAACAGATGTGAAATGAGAAAGTCATATTTCACTAAGTCTGTCAGCAGCAGCATTTCACACGTTATACAGAGTTAGCATCTGATAACATACCAAACAGCTTCATATTTTAAAAAACCCTAAACTTTCAACTACCTTTTGATGCCATTTAATAATTTTTTTCCATTAATAACAATGAGCCCACATTTTCAGCTGTATGTGTTATATTGCAATACCAACCTTTTTACATTTTATCTGATGCACTGTAACTTGAATTTTTTAGGCAAAATACCTTAGGTCACACAATTTTGGATTCTGACAGAATAAACTTCCAGGAATTAAGTATTTCAGCATTCCTCATTACATACACACTGTACCAATATACCTTGGTCATTGTCACACACCTTTATTTCAACTTTTATTTCTTTCAAATTTCAGATGCTAAATAGCCTGTTAACATGTCAAAACATTCATACATTGCCATTAGGACTTCTAGAAACCCCATTTGACATAAAATTTGTTGCCTACTCTTTTTGTGACACTTAACAAGCTTCGGTTTGCAAGTTTTTCAAAGTTGTTTCACTATTACACAAAAACCTTGTAATGGGTTTGGGTTCACAAGCAGTTTCAACTCTTGACTCACAAATACTCTGAAAGCTACAAGAAACCCCTAGGTGGGCAACCAGCCTGACTTCTTCCCCTTTAATACTATCTAGAAATATTGGAAGTCTGACACACAAAATCCTCACGTTGTAACAAGTCTGTAGGAAAAGTTAAGCTAGTGCTGCCACTGATCAAAGGGAGAAAATGCATTTGCTCTCATCGCAAAACGGCACACAGATACCGACGGCAGCGTGGGAGTCCAAATAACTAGACAAAGTTCTACCAAATTTACCCACCCTCTTAGGAAGTAATTGGACTAAGGTGAAAATCAGTCAGTTAGAAAGGGCGTTAAAAAGATAATTAAATTATTTAATATCTTTACTACAATTATTTTCTCTATAGTTACATTAAATAAAGTGATTAAGAAGTGCTCCCACCTTTCCAGAACTTCTTACACATCCTCAGTCTTCAAAAACAATGGATAATGCATTCGTTTAAAAGGACAGAACCTCGACAATCTTACCTAAAACTTGGCTAGGGCTTTGCTTACTCCATGACAGAAGTTTTGGAATGGGGCCTGACAGTCAGTCAAGAACATGACTTATATGTATTTGAAGTTATTTTGAAATTAACCACTTAAGGAAGTTTCAGATACCCATAGTAACCAAAAGTGCGTTCACATCATCTCTAGTACTAACCCCCCCACCATCTTCTAAAGAGTAATCCCTTACATTACCCTTTTGTCACCTTCTCTACTTTGAATAAAACTTACTAACTAGATGACTTAAAGAATCTCATTCCACGTTAAAGTAAGTAGCTTGTATCAATAGTGAAAGTCATAATGCTTACCAATAGAAGCTGAACTTCAAAACATTAAAACCTTACAACCCAATCCTTCTCTGTGACTAATGGCAAATAGTATTTAAATTGTATTTAAAAAAACACAACTACAGCTTCAGTAGGAAATCCTAAGCAACCAAGATCCATCGGGCAATCCTAAGCAAACCGATTACAGATTAAAAGAGAAAAACAAACCACAAAAAAGAAACTGAATGTTTTAAAGTGGTTTTTTTTCACTGTAGCTTCCTAGATTTAAATCTAAGGTTGCAAAAGGCACTTTCATTTCATATGAACTACATTTCCAGCATTCTGAAACAAAAATACTAAATTGTCAAGTGTCAATCATCAAATGACCAAAACAAGAAGTATTATTATATAAAAATGAAAATCCATAAACACAAGCCATACCTGCTTTTCCTTTCGATGAGAATAGCCATATAAGAAGCAGGTAAAGCAGCACCAAAGCCAGGAGACCAAAAGTAGAATTTTCCAAGTATCTTTCTGAAAATGTAATTTGTACACATATTACACGCAAAGCAATCGAAACATTCATGTAAAACACCATATTTTACTTTTATCGTAAAATTACACATGCTTTATTAAGATTTTGTCCCTTCACATTAATCAAAACTTAGAAATAACCATTAATCACTGTATTTTTATAGTTGGATAGTTCTCAGAGGGGTTCCCAAAGTGCTTCATAAACACTGAACCCCTGATATATTTCATTAACATATCCATTTCATTTAAAGGATTACTTTGCTTCGAAGAAAGCAGTGCTTTCAAGAGATGTTCCTGAAAAGTTGCAGATATTAATTACAGAAAAATCTTCTAAAAGAACCTATAGTTGCTCCTCTCTCTGCTACTTGTCCAAGTACATCTTCAGGAAGATGTGCCTTGTGGCATGTAGGGATGCCATCAGGTGAGCCAGAAATCAAATCAAATTATTATCATATACGTCACACTCCAAAGAGATAGTCAACTGATGCTAAAAGAGTAACCCACTCATTTACAGTAAGCCAATAAATCAATCTGTACGTTACAACTGGAAGCAAAAGTGACATCCCAGTTCTATTAAGGTGGAAAAGCTCTCATTTTTTTGCAACAAGATCTGGATTTCACTCAGAGTCCACACAATTTCAACTATCAAAATTCCTCCAACAATAACAGTTGAAAAAAATAGTTACACAAATGACAATATCTAAGAAAATATTTCTATAAATTGGTCACTGTTAAAGGAGGAAAACAAAAATGCATGTCAGACACGATGTCACCAACCACATTTGGTCTGTTCAGGACACCTGCACCTTCAAACTAATTCAGATTGATCACAGAAGCAAACAACAGTCAGGCAGACATGAAATTCAGTAGCATGATAATAAATGTACTTCAATTACACCGATCCTGCTCAGCTGATAAGCACTACCAGCTGAGGAAAACAATGTTACAATGGAGTCTACCCTTCCAAAAACACAGCGAATAAAATACAACAAAAACAAAATGGCAAACAGATACAGGGTAGAAAAGGAAATTTTCTTAGATAAAATTTCATGTTGACAACACAGAAGAGAGAACAAAGATAATTAATCAACAGCATCCGATTGGCTCACTTTCTTTCTTGCTGTAAAAGACATGATCAGCCTCATTTCATACTTCTCCTGCAAAAACAACATTACCAGTGAGCAATGCCAGCTTATGTTCATAAGTGAAAAGAGACCCAGGGTATCAGCAGCAAGTGATGTAATGGCAATTACACACACCACTCATTCCCACGACTGCAAGAGGATAATTTCTCAGGATGACAATGCCAAATGCTGCAGCAGCTAAAGTTTATTATAAGGACTCTCTTGGAAAGCAATTACTGTATGAAGTTTCAGAGAAGCCATTTTAAACATCTTAATAAGTATGAACACATCTTACCAGACACACCTGTTAAGTAACAGAACAAATGTCTTTTCTGTGGGAAAGAAACGGGAATTTGTTCTTTTGGCATGGTTTAGAATCCCTCTACGAATGCTTACATGTTCAGTTTGATAAGATTTCAGAAACAACAATATATTTTACATAATAAAACCTAGTGGAAATTAAAATGTCCAATCAGTAAGCGAAACATTTAAACTTCTGCTAAAGTAAATGAAAACAAGTTTTTGTTATTATTTGCATGGTTATTTTCACATGGTCTATGCTTAGAAATTGGTATGAGAAATATGAGTTCTTTCAGGTTATGCATCTAATTCCTCAGTATACAACTGTATCCAAAGCTCAAAGGCTGGTTGATACATTAAGGTTGAATCTAATTAAGCAAGCTAATGTAAAGCTGTACATGGACAACCTTAATTACTCTAGCTGCTAGACTAAAAGAAGCATGTTTTCATGAGGTTTTGCATTTAATAAAACCGAAAACCTAAAAATCACACCTTTCATTTAACAGAGTCAACACTAGAGCCTAGCACTTCCATCTGGCACTCAGACAGATGTAGTCTTCTTCTGGATCTCACCAGAGGAAAAGACTACAACCCCCAGCTGGCCTGTCACACATCTGCAACGGAGACCATCAGCCCCACTGCTCTGCCAACAGAGCCGTCTGCTCATACTCCCTAATTCACTTCAAGAAAAGAAAAGGGGTGGAAAGAAAGAAACAAACAAACAAAAAGGGGGAAAGAAAAAAAATTGGCTTGATAATCCCCTCTAGAATGAGAGCATCTATATACAGCCTAAGCCATTGCTGATATTGGATTTAGATGTTTTTGAAATTTTGCTCACTTATGAAATGGTGACAATATTAAACAAAGCCTGAAATTATTTTAATTGCACTTTCTTGCCTTAAGTTTTACATCCTTGAAAATACTTGCAGCGGCTTCAATTTTGGTGGTTTTCTCTAGCTGAAAGGAAACAAATACTGCAAGAGCATCAAAAAGCCATATTGCCACAAGCCAATTCATTGACAATTACATTTTGTATTTAGGCCTTCCAATTGTTACTGGATGACTAAGATGTATTTTCAGTATACAGTGACTGAAGATTCACTGGGTCTTTGGTAAAGGTATGAACAGATGAAGCGGTCACTTTATCCAGGACACCCTATATGCCTGCCAACACATCTCCTCCCCGGTGCTACAAAAGAAGGAAACAGGCAACTCTTCTCAAATCAGGACTTGTGCAGGTAAATACGAAGCTAACATGTCCAGCTACAAACCCTTTAATCTGTTGCTTTGGACTAGAACTCCAAGGGGGTGAGATCAGTCAGCTCCATGGGGTTGCTGGACAATTTTGCTTCTGAGTTATATATTCCTCCTGCTATAACACCTTCCAACCAAAAAGAGATTCAAAAACTGCAGTATCCATCCTATTGTACAAATATACCTCATCCAATCTCTCATCACTAGCTAGAATGAGATTAGAGAGCATCTAGGTCTCCAAAGTCTCAGACAATCTCTTTGCATGGTTGCAAATCAAATTCAGAAATACTCAGGCCACAGTTATGCAGAACACCATAGAGATACTGATATTTCTTTGATGGACTAAAACATACAATACCAAATCACATTCTGGGCTAGAATATGACATGCAATTACTTCTCCTGATACGCTGTATCACACAGCAATAAATTCAAGGAATCATACAAGTTCAAACAAAACTTTAAAAAAAACAAATATGAAAAAATCCACACGAATTAGTTAAAAAAAAGGAGCGAAGTCTCACATTTCCATCCTCCATCACCCACCCAACAGCAGATGAGAGAAGGAAGCTTATATGGCTCAATCTGCAAGACAATGTTGATATTAAGTACATTCCAAGTGAAGGATTTGTCAACATTACAATCTTAGAAGCTTATGGGGGTGGGGGCGGTGGGGGGGCAGGAGAGGCATACAGCACTCAACTTGTAAAGATGTCATGTATTTACACAGCTTTCTGTCTTATTCACATTTTCTCTCCAAATAACACTTACTCAGCTCCTTGACCACATTAAAGTACTGAACTGACTTGTTCAAAGAACCTGTCCATGACAACTCTCAAACACCTTCCTAATTAATAGCTTGTTTAAAGCCCATCCCTGTATAAGGACAAGACTGCTTTTTTCCTCTCAGTGCATTACTTTGCACTTTTCTCTATCAAATTTTGTGATTTTAATCAACAGATCTTTTTGAAATGAATCACAGTCAGTTTTAGATTTCCATATCCTAAATAATTTCATATAATCTCTCACACTGTTCATCCCTTTTTCCAGATTCTTCTTTAATATTCATCAGAAA